TCTTCCCTGGAATAGGTGCTCGGTTGCTCCTCGAAATCGAGCCGCACTGGAACCTGTTGCTGCTCCTCGGCTTGCTCTGCTCTTCGCTCAAATGTGGCCTCGATAGCTCCTGAAGCTCGAGCCACACGGGGGGATGCCTGTTCAGTCCGCTGCATCGATTGCTTCTGCAATTCGAATCGCATGGGAGACTGTTGCTGATCGTTTAGCTTGCTCTGCTCCTCGATGAAATGTGGCCTCGAGAGCTCCTGGAGTTCAAGCCCCTGTGGCTGTTGCTGATCATTATGTTTTCTCTGCTCTCTGCTGGAATATGCCCTCGATTCCTCCTGGAACTCAAGCTCCACGGAAGGCAATGTTGACGATCCTTTATGTGAAGATCGCCTGGTTTGAGTGCGAATCTAATTGCAAAGTAGTAAATCCAATCAACTATCATTATTGCCAATATTCCCGTTTTCGATCGAATCGGATCCGTCATACAAAAAATCTGTATGATGGATCCCTTTCGATCGAAAGCGGAAATAGGGATGTAGATCTAGATGAACATTTCAAAAGGTCCTATCTGCGTTGATCGATTCTCTTTATCGACTGTCCCTTTTGATAACAACGGTTTTGCAAACAGATTTCGTGCTATTTTTGCCACATAGTTTTTTGCAGCTGAGTGCTTAACGAAAAAGAAAGTCGATGAATAGAATTTATCAATGCAGATAGGATCTTTAGAAAGTTCATCTAGATATTTAAGTATAATAGACCAACGCATAATGGTTCGTTGCGTTTGCGAGCAACGGCACATGACAACGCAAATCCCGCTCCACACATTCCAGTTGCGGGTTTTAGGATAACTAACGCAATAACCTCATTCTGTTTTTTTTTTTTTCAATTAAACAGGAAAAAAAAATGACAAAAAAATATTCCGTTCTATGGAAACTCTGTTCAATCTAAACCGGAAAAGGTACGTAAACTTACCTGCAGGTGCTGTGGCTGCTTCCGAAATTTAGGCTGATCGTCTGACTTTCCCTCAGAATCTGGCACCAATGGCCCCTTGACCTCGACCCGCGCTAGAGTGGTAGATTTATTTTTCTTCTTTTGTAGGAAAAGCTTTTTAGCTTTCTTCATCCTTTCTACGGACTGTTCCGTTGGTTTTGGCATCGCAACATGGAATCACAACGAAACACGCGAAATCACAACGAAAATTGGATACTGTTAAAAATCATCCGCTTGACTAAAAATCAACCACATGCAATGAAACCGGAAATTGAAAAGAACGCTAATCCACACTGAACAAGCACACGACAAACGAAGAAGATGCAAAAAATTGTCGCTTGCATAAATTTTTCAAGCAGCGCGCATTGTAGCCTGCACGCTAACTCACAAAGACTCAAAATCGAGTCAGTGGGAAGTACACGCTTATTTTCAACTACTCACCGGGTGAGTCGATCCTACTCACTTTTGTCTGATGTATGGAGTTGTCATCAACTGAGTAAATGAGAAATGTCAGACTGAGTAAAAGCCACTCAGTCAGTAAAAGCCGGGAGTTGGACATAAAAAGTCAGCCATAGCATAGCATGCGCTCTGTAAAACGGCCAAGTTCCCGTGAAAATCCCTGCTTTTGCTGATTGAGTGGCTTTTACTCAGTTTAACGTATTTCATTTACTCAGTTTTTGACTATTTGAGTACATGCTACTCACCGGGTGAGTTGATCCTACTCACTTTTTCCGAGACACAGCAAAAAAGTGTTGTTCAATATAATCGTTTCAGTTGAAAACCGGAAAATCTCACACGTGACAATAGATTTTAAACGCTGTCCAGACTGGAGAGTTGTAACATGTTATAACGGTTGTCAAATAATTGCAACACAGAAACCACCATCAAGATAGCGCTATAACATGTTATAACTCTGTAGTCTGAACGTACTATAATCGATTAATCGATTATTCGAATGAAAATCGACCATCACTGGATGAATGCGAAACGTCATTTCTAATATAAGGACCGTGCTTAAATAATGATACAATTTGAAAAGGATCGGGGCTAATCACAAATTACGTCCCCACGGTAACTGAAATAAACACTCGATTTCTGCCGCACCAGATGGTGGATGAAAGTATCATCCATATTTTCACAGTTCTGGCAACTCTGTTCGTATAGATACATCTACGTTCTAAGTGCTGATAAATTTTCGTCTTTTTATGGTTGTCAATCATCGTCTTCATTTGTTATTTCCTTTCCGTTTGATCATTTCGGTGTCCCATTGCAAAGCGTCGGTGGAAGATCGTATATTTATTGCGTGTAAATTGCTTCAAAGTGGTGTGTGCATAGCAGTGATTCTGATTGAGCATATAAACAATTTCCTACTACAACCCACGCAAATTTTTTTTTTCGCTCAAAGCGACATCTGTTTGTGTATAGCAAAGTCAAGGATTGCTTGCAAGTTCTGCATAACAGCATACAAGTTCATTGTCACTCCATCAAGCATTAGGTGGATCTAATCTGCATAAACGTAGGCGCATTACTATGGCAAAGCAATGTTCCAAATGCTCTGATGCTATCACCGGCATCGATTATGTTGTTTGTCGCGGTTATTGTGGTGCAATCTTCCACATGAATACGTGTTCAGGTGTGACACGTGCACTGCAATCCTACTTCACGACGAACAAGAAAAATCTCTTTTGGATGTGCGACAAGTGTGCTGAGCTGTTTGAAAATTCACACTTCCGTTCTATTTCGGCTAAAGCTGACCAGACATCACCACTAAACTCACTCACCACTGCAATTACGGAGCTGCGTGCTGAGATCAAGCAGATACACTCGAAGCCTACTGTTGGTTTTTCTCCAGCTGTCAATTGGCCCACAGTAACACAACGAAGGCCCAACAAAAGATCACTCGAGATTAGCGCAGGAGCACGACCCACGGAAAACTGTCGTGTAGGTAGTAAGCAGCCGTTAGATAATGTCGTGTCGGTACCTGTCTTTAAGAACGAGGATCAGAAATTCTGGTTGTATCTCTCCAGAATTAGACCAGATGTTGGAGTTGAAGCTGTATCGGCTATGGTCAAAGCCAATCTCAATGTCGACAGTGATCCTGCTGTGATAAAACTGATTCCAAAAGACGAGGATATCACAACTCTTTCATTTGTGTCCTTCAAAGTTGGTCTTGATCCATCGTTGAAATCTAAGGCTTTGGATCCAGAAACTTGGCCTGAGGGTGTGTTATTCCGGGAGTTTTGAAGATTACGGATCCCAAAAATTTCGGGTTCCTTTGAAGTACCGGAAACCAATAACACCGTTGCTGCCAGTTCAAACATCTTCTCCAGCCACTCCTGTAATGGACTTGAGTTAATTTGCTTCGTCCCGGGACGCACTAGCTTGAGCATTTCGGAAGCCCCTGATCCCCCCATCACAGTCGAGCCATTCCTGCCAGCGTTCTGCAGTCGTCCTGGTCCTGTATTTGGGTGTGGAGAAGGGGTCTTCCAATCCGCTACTACAGGCAAGTACGCATTCATTAATGAAAATGTTGTACCTGATACGTTCGACGCTTCCAGTCAATCACTTCCCGCTCTATTGAAATTATTGAAACATCTCTGACCGAAGCTGTTGCAATAAGCGTCGTTTCACCCAGCATGCCAACATACCATCTAGCGTCGCATCTCGAAGTGCCCATCGCAACGAAACGTGTTTCAGATCGCATGTTTTCTGTGCACAGCAAAAAAAAAATGTAATATCGATCAACGTAACGGGCGCTATATGGCCAGGCTCTCGAGATACAGTTTATATAGGAATTGCACATGCACACTAGCGCTGCGTAGTTAGAGAGTTCTGAACTAATATGGCCAGCATCCGAAAGGACTTGGTCACCTGAACAACTTTGCTCAATACAGTAACTTTCTATATGGTCAGGATCACGAAATATTCTATGTTGGAAATATGATCCATATATTATAGCGCCCGTCATAAGTAACATAAAAGTGAAGCGCCTCTAGTGGCGTAGTTCCCAATTAAACCTGAATCCAATGGCACAGGCTTGTTGGTCTAACCCAGAACAGCAACTTTGTCGAAGACAGTATAGCTTTATGTATTGAAACAAATGAGATAATCCACTACAACCCCCATTAGTGAAATCCCATAAGCTGTGGGTATCCTTATTCGCGGTTCCTTATTCACGCCCCCGTTACCCCGGCAATAAGGATTCCTGACTGTACATATATTACATTACTATATCAAGAGCAAATTTTCATTATGTCGTAAGTAACATTCGCACCAATCCGAGAAAAATAAAGTTTTGTTTTGATGACCGAAAAGTTATTCCTATTTCCAAGTAAACACATATATCTCATAGTGATAGTAATGTTTAACATATTTAGCAGGGTTTTAATCATACAAATGCAAATCGCTAGCTTTCATGCTAAAAAATACTGGTTTTTGAGTCAAAACGTTATTATACGTCGTTTGGTGGCCCTATTGTTACTTAAGTCAAAGTGTATTTACCAGGATATTCGGGATAATTATCAATTACGTCTCCTTACGTGCAGCCCATTCATCATTTTAGGACCACCGAAATCATCTTAGCAACAAACAGTTCGATTTATTCACTTTAATAATGAGAAAGTGAAACGACGAACGTACACTTTTCACGGGTTTCTCAGCGCTGTTACTTAAGTCAAACGGCATCTCCATAGAAATTGGGTGACTTAAGTAACATCGAAAACTATTTTGATCGGAAGGTGATTACGTCAAAAAGCAATTTGGCTGCAAATAAATTTAAAAATGGGATTTGATCCTATATTCGGACAGTATATAGTGTAATAGCAGGAGAATCGATTGACACTGATAGCTCGACTTTGTTTCCTTTGTTACATTCGACGTAATGAAAATTTGCTCTTGATATATTCTATTGTGGAAACAATACATTCTATTGTTATTTTATCGTTGTGGAGAATACGTTTTATTGTAAATACAATAAACTCTATTATATGGTTACAATGCATTTCATTGTACCTCCATGGTTCTTTTTTTTACGGGATAACGTCAGACATAGTGCGCTAGCGCATCATTGTGTCACTATGTACTACGTTATTACACTGAAACAAGGACCATAGTTAGGAATACTATTTTGCAGAAAACACTTATTATCAATATAACCACGCTTATTGCTGTTGAATCTACTATGAATTCAGTATAGTTGACTATGAATGTTAACAAATTTACTATGATTCTGGCAAAACTACTATGCTTGCTTAAAATGCATAGTAATTTTGATAGAAATAATAGTAAAATTAAATGAAATTGTTTTCTGTAAAAATCTATTGGTGAGGGTATTTAATCTAAACCATCAATATAGTATTTTTGCCAATGTATTTTGTTTCAGTGTAGAGTCGGTGTATAATGAGTCACGCCAAGAGAGAAACAGTTGAACTCGCATCACGGTTTTCGAAAGATTCCCTTTCTTTCAACTTGGCAACAGAGGACTTCTACATCAACTTCAAATGACTTTTAGCGAGAAAAAATAATAGCGGCTGGTTGGAGGCGAACCAGCCAAAGGTCTGAAAGCCTCCCTAATAAAGTTAAATAATAATAATAATAGCGGCTGTAGTAAATCATTATATGAGTGATTTTGTCAAATTATCTTAACAAAAATAGTAGAAATTCTCATTACTGATCATTACCAAACGTATCCCATGGCAATTGAATTTTTTTTTTAATTCTTTATTAAAGAGATTTTTAGCCTTAGCCTAGTTCATCTCTAATAACAATTGAATGCTCACTGCGTGTTTATTATCATTTCTTCGATTAAATTTTATATTTTATTCTAATACCTTTCGTGGACCTTTCATAGCATCGTAATGTTTGTTTACTTTGCACGATAGGTAGCTGGTTTGACAGTTCGATAGGTAGACTCGGCTTCACTCTTGGCGTGACTCATTATACACCGACTCTACTACGTTATGTTTAACGTACACTGTAACTGGAAAGTTCTTATTTATTAATGGGCACAATTTCACCCATTTTAACGTTAAGTAGGCTAACCCATTTAATGGGTAAAAAATTACCCATTAATGGGTAACTAATACCCATAAATGTGTATTTTTTACCCAGTAGTGGGTAAACGTTACTCATTAATGGGTGATTTGTTTACCCATTTAATGGGTTAACCTACTTTACTTCAAAATGGGTGAAATTGTACTCATTAATGTTAGAGTGTACATAACGAGCGTAATAGCAACCGGTGAACACTCGTGTTTATTTCAGTTACCGTGGGGACGTAATTTGTGATTAGCCCCGATCCTTTTCAAATTGTATCATTATTTAAGCACGGTCCTTATATTAGAAATGACGTTTCGCATTCATCCAGTGATGGTCGATTTTCATTCGAATAATCGATTAATCGATTATAGTACGTTCAGACTACAGAGTTATAACATGTTATAGCGCTATCTTGATGGTGGTTTCTGTGTTGCAATTATTTGACAACCGTTATAACATGTTACAACTCTCCAGTCTGGACAGCGTTTAAAATCCATTGTCACGTGTGAGATTTTCCGGTTTTCAACTGAAACGATTATATTGAACAACACTTTTTTGCTGTGTCTCGGAAAAAGTGAGTAGGATCAACTCACCCGGTGAGTAGCATGTACTCAAATAGTCAAAAACTGAGTAAATGAAATACGTTAAACTGAGTAAAAGCCACTCAATCAGCAAAAGCAGGGATTTTCACGGGAACTTGGCCGTTTTACAGAGCGCATGCTATGCTATGGCTGACTTTTTATGTCCAACTCCCGGCTTTTACTGACTGAGTGGCTTTTACTCAGTCTGACATTTCTCATTTACTCAGTTGATGACAACTCCATACATCAGACAAAAGTGAGTAGGATCGACTCACCCGGTGAGTAGTTGAAAATAAGCGTGTACTTCCCACTGACTCGATTTTGAGTCTTTGTGAGTTAGCGTGCAGGCTACAATGCGCGCTGCTTGAAAAATTTATGCAAGCGACAATTTTTTGCATCTTCTTCGTTTGTCGTGTGCTTGTTCAGTGTGGATTAGCGTTCTTTTCAATTTCCGGTTTCATTGCATGTGGTTGATTTTTAGTCAAGCGGATGATTTTTAACAGTATCCAATTTTCGTTGTGATTTCGCGTGTTTCGTTGTGATTCCATGTTGCGATGCCAAAACCAACGGAACAGTCCGTAGAAAGGATGAAGAAAGCTAAAAAGCTTTTCCTACAAAAGAAGAAAAATAAATCTACCACTCTAGCGCGGGTCGAGGTCAAGGGGCCATTGGTGCCAGATTCTGAGGGAAAGTCAGACGATCAGCCTAAATTTCGGAAGCAGCCACAGCACCTGCAGGTAAGTTTACGTACCTTTTTCCGGTTTAGATTGAAACAGAGTTTCCATAGAACGGAATATTTTTTTGTCATTTTTTTTTCCTGTTTAATTGAAAAAAAAAAAAACAGAATGAGGTTATTGCGTTAGTTATCCTAAAACCCGCAACTGGAATGTGTGGAGCGGGATTTGCGTTGTCATGTGCCGTTGCTCGCAAACGCAACGAACCCATTATGCGTTGGTCTATTATACTTAAAATATCTAGATGAACATTTCTAAAGATCCTATCTGCATTGATAAATTCTATTCATCGACTTTCTTTTTCGTTAAGCACTCAGCTGCAAAAAACTATGTGGCAAAAATAGCACGAAATCTGTTTGCAAAACCGTTGTTATCAAAAGGGACAGTCGATAAAGAGAATCGATCAACGCAGATAGGACCTTTTGAAATGTTCATCTAGATCTACATCCCTATTTCCGCTTTCGATCGAAAGGGATCCATCATACAGATTTTTTGTATGACGGATCCGATTCGATCGAAAACGGGAATATTGGCAATAATGATAGTTGATTGGATTTACTACTTTGCAATTAGATTCGCACTCAAACCAGGCGATCTTCACATAAAGGATCGTCAACATTGCCTTCCGTGGAGCTTGAGTTCCAGGAGGAATCGAGGGCATATTCCAGCAGAGAGCAGAGAAAACATAATGATCAGCAACAGCCACAGGGGCTTGAACTCCAGGAGCTCTCGAGGCCACATTTCATCGAGGAGCAGAGCAAGCTAAACGATCAGCAACAGTCTCCCATGCGATTCGAATTGCAGAAGCAATCGATGCAGCGGACTGAACAGGCATCCCCCCGTGTGGCTCGAGCTTCAGGAGCTATCGAGGCCACATTTGAGCGAAGAGCAGAGCAAGCCGAGGAGCAGCAACAGGTTCCAGTGCGGCTCGATTTCGAGGAGCAACCGAGCACCTATTCCAGGGAAGAGTTGACTAAACAGGGCGATCGGCAACAGCCTGCCGTGCGGATCAAATTCCAGTACCAATCAATGCAATATTCCAGTGAAGAGCAGCCAAAGCATCCCGTGCGGCTCGAGCTCCAGGAGCTATCGAGGCCACATTTGAGCGAGGAGCAGAGCAAGCCGAACGATCAGCAGCTTCCCGAGCGGAAACCAAAACAGCGGACCTTTCCAGCTGTAAGTATACCCTTGATTGTAAACCGTTCATATTACTAAAGTACATATTATGTACTATGATTTCTCGATTTTGTCAACTACTCTTTCACTGTTCAGACTGTTATCTTCTTTCGTGAATGTACGATAGTATAATAGTAAATTGTAACTTCTTAATGATGGTTTTAGTTTGCGTAGGCAAGCTACCACTTTCTGTAAATTGACCAAGCCTATTCTGCGAGTTGTGTGACTTTCTGTCACTAGTGCAGATAGACTATCTGCACTACAGTGACAGAAAGTCACACAAATCGCAGAATAGGCCTGGTCAATTTACGGAAAGTGATAGCTCACCATCTGAGATAGTTGCACGATTCCCGCGTAGAAAATAATCATAAGAATACAAGACCAACAATTGAAATGGCCTTAACTCCATTTTGTAAACAAACCTTGTAAGGCCATTTTCTCGCGAACCGAAGTCCGCAAAGGCAAACCAACATAATGAACAGGTAGGGGAAATTAGTTTAGGTTTGCGAATGAAGGTTTCGGTTCGCGAGCCTTACAGGATTTGTTTACAAAATGGAGTTAAGGCCATTTCAATTGTTGGTCTTGAATTTGTGTTCGATTCAGGCTCAACTTGAAATGTTGGCTTCGGCATGCCTTAAATTAATGTCGTTTTCGTTTTTGCGGTGTAGCACTGGTGTAGTGTAAGCAGGAATAAGCGCGAGTCTTTGACAGCTCAACATCATTTGTTCATAAACAAAGGTGCATCCTATATCTACACCCTAAAATATTTCGGTGTACGGCAGTGTAGCACCGGTGTAGCTACACCGCAAAAACGAAAACGACATAAGTCTCAGAGTGCTATTTTTTTTGCAAAACGTTGACATGATTCAACAGTGCTATTTCAATAGTATAAATTTAATGTGTGTTAATTTACGATATTATATTTTTCAATCAGAGCCGCGTTCAAACCAGGCGATCCTCGGCTCGACCGGAAATCCAGGGGCAATCGGAGCCACATTCCAAGGAAGGAGATCAGAAACAGCAGCTTCCAGAGCGGATGAATCAACGCGTTCAAACTAGACGATCCTCGGCTCGTCTGCAAATCCAGGATCAATTGGAGGCACATTCCAAGGAGGATGATCAGAAACAGCCGCTTCTAGCGCATTTTCATCGACAGAAGGTAACCTATGTTGATGTGTGTTGTGTGTGTGTGTCTGTGTGTGTGTGTGTGTGTCTGTGTGTGTGTGTGTGTGTGTGTGTGTGTGTGTGTCTGTGTGTGTGTGTGTCTGTGTGTGTGTGTGTGTCTGTGTGTGTGTGTGTGTCTGTGTGTGTGTGTGTGTCTGTGTGTGTGTGTGTGTCTGTGTGTGTGTGTGTGTGTCTGTGTGTGTGTGTGTCTCTGTGTGTGTATGTGTGAGTGTGTGTGTGTGTGTATGTGTGTGTGTGTGTGTGTGTGTGTATGTGTGTGTGTATGTGTGAGTGTGTGTGTATGTGTGAGTGTGTGTGTATGTGTGAGTGTGTGTGTGTGTGTGGGTGTGAGTGTGTGTGTGTGAGTGTGTGTGTGTGTGAGTGTGTGTGTGTGTGTGTGTGTGTGTGTGTGTGTGTGTGTGTGTGTGTGTGTGTGTGTGTGTGTGTGTGTGTGTGTGTGTGTGTGTGTGTGTGTGCGCGCGTCGGTGAGTGTTGTTCTTGTTTTCATTAATATTGTTTTTTACATAACTTATCGCTTTGCTTTTCATTTGATTTTATCTTTCCAGGAACAACCTAAGCGTCAAAATAAATCAAACCACCAACATCCAAATGCTGGCAAACTTAGTCATCACAACCTGTCCTCTCAACAAACTACGAAAATGGGAAGTACTATTCACCCACATTCGTTGCACCAATCACCATCGATTGGATTGGAAGCTGCTGACGTGGATTCAGTTTGCAAATTCAAAAGCCTATCCCAAACCGCTTTTCAAGCTAGTCCGGACAACGAGCTGCATGAACCAGGTGATATTCCAGTTAAATTGGAGCTAAAAGAAGAGCCTCAGCCTCAGCTCTCTGTATCACCCGCTACTGTACGAGTAAGTATTTTATTGAGTAAATATATACCGTTATTTAACCTTTTCGATACCGTTGATCATTGTTAGTGAAGAGTGGAAGCTGTGACAGAAATAAATTAATATTTCTCGCGTAAAATTTGAAAAGGGCCTATCAAATTTTGTAGACAAAATTTGCAACGCTCTTCGCGCGAACCGAAGCTCGCCTCAGCAAACCAAGAATACTATCGAGAAGGGGAGACTTTCCTCTACCTCATGGTGTTGTTGGTTTGCGTGGGTGAGTTTTGGTTCGCACAAAAAGGGCGTGACAAGTTTTGTTTATAGGCCCTTTTCAAATGTTACGTGAGATTAGCGATTTCTCATCAATTCCACCGTTTGTTTTTCAAACCTATTCTGGAGTCAAGGATCACTGTACTTCATTCGGATTTATAAGCAGATTGAAACTGAGTTGATCCAAAATCTAACAAATTCGTTTATAATTATCGACCTACAATAGAAAAGGTGCTATCAGCTGTTTTGCATGGGCGGCCTACGCTTTCCGAGGAAAGGGCTTACAAAGTTTTGTCTACAAAATCTGATAGGCTCTTTTCTATTGTTGGACGAGAATTGCTGACCATTGTGTAGCAATGCCGACCACTGTATAAATTATATTTACTTAATATTCGATATTTTATTTTTCAATCAGAGTCGTGTTCAAACCAGGCGATCCTCAGATCGACCGGAAATCCAGGGGCAATTGGAGACACATTTCAAGGAAGGAGATCAGAAACAGCAGCTTCCAGCGCATTTTCATCGACAGAAGGTAACCTATGTTGATGTGTGTGTGTGTTATGTGTGTGTGTTATGTGTGTGTGTTATGTGTGTGTGTTATGTGTGTGTGTTATGTGTGTGTGTTATGTGTGTGTGTTATGTGTGTGTGTTATGTGTGTGTGTGTTATGTGTGTGTGTTATGTGTGTGTGTTATGTGTGTGTGTTATGTGTGTGTGTTATGTGTGTGTGTTATATGTGTGTGTGTGTGTGTGTGTGTGTGTGTGTGTGTGTGTGTGTGTGTGTGTGTGTGTGTGTCTGTGTGTGTGTGTGTGTGTGTGTGTGTGTGTGTGTGTGTTATGTGTGTGTGTTATGTGTGTGTGTGTTATGTGTGTGTGTGTGTGTGTGTGTGTGTGTGTGTGTGTGTGTGTGTGTGTGTGTGTGAAACAAGGTGACCTATGTGGATGTGTATGTTTCTGTCTGTTCTTGTTTGCATTAATTTTATTTTTTTTACATTACTTATCGCACTGCTTCATTTTTTTCTTCTTATTTTTCCAGCAACAACCTAAGGCTGCGGCCAAGCAGCGTAAGAATAAATCAAACCACCAACATCCAAACACTGGCAAACTTAGTCATGACAACGTGGCCTCACAGAAAACTACAGAAATGGGTAGTACTATTCACCCACATTCGTTCGACCAATTGCCGTCGATTGGTTTGGAAGCTGCTGACGTGGATTTAGTGTGCAAATTCGAAAGCCTATCCCAAACCGCTTTTCAAGCTAGTCCGGACAACGAGCTACTTGAACGAGGTGGTATTTCAGTTAAATTAGAGCCACAAGAAGAGTCTCAGCCTCAGCTCTCTGTATCGCCCGCTACAGCAAGAGTAAGTATTTTATTGAGTAGCTATATACCGTTATTTAACCTATTAGATACCGTTGATTATCGTAAGTGAAGAGTGGAAGCTATGACAGACTTAAATTAATATTTGCGGTTTCACATCAAAGTAACCATTCTCGCTCGCTGTTACTACGAATAGTGATTTTTTTTTAAATCAGTGTCACATATGTAGTTGTTTACTTTATTATAGCCGGAGAAACACTGTCAGGTAGGGTGGGTCAAGTATGGCACATCACAACTGCTCTTTCGATTTGTATTGAGGTTCCCAACAACCGATGTGGTTGTTCTGTGTGTGTGTGTGTGTCATCCTCTATCCCTCACCCAGCCGGGGGCGTTGGACAAGTAGAACTGCGAATAATTTGATCAAATCTCATGCTCCGTAATGGTGCCCTTTATGTTGTGAAGACTAGTACTTCAAAAAGGGTAACTTTTGAGGCAAGACAGGGTGTCCTCAACAAGTTAAGGGAACAGGGTGCACTAGATGTCCACAACAGGTACAGCAAAACATCACATAGACGCCCTTATTCACACTAACTACTCAGGGGATAGAAGGTCAAGAAGAGCCACCGCCGCCAACTAAAGCTTGAACCGGGTACCTGGGACTCCCACGATATACCCGCGGCAATGGTCAGCAGACGATGCCCTGTGCGTATTTAGTATGTAATATGTTTTATTTGGATACACAAAATGTTTGAAGCCATGCGTCATCTAAACCATAATTTGCATCACCACAAATACACTTGTCAACAATCTTCAACTGGAACGTGCTCATCAAATCACTTCACCCGGGAGCGCATTCCCGATGCTTCCACGCATATTTTTCTCTCCACTCCAACCACACAACAACCAAATATCACTTTTCTTCACTTTTCTTTTTCAAGACACTCCGTGCACAAAAGCAATGCACATCGCAAAACCCTAACAATAGATCACAACAACCGATGTGGTTGTTCTATATAGTTTTCACATTTAATGTTCCAGGTTTGGTCAAAATTGGGCAATTTTTGAAATTGAGACGATCAACGGAATAGTTTCGTTCCGTTTCCTACACATTTTCCTATACAAACTTTAAAGTTCTCGCACAAATCCAGATTGTAACCAAAGTCAGTTGCTGAGGAGCTCAATACAGATCGAAAGAGCAGTGGGAAGTAGGAGGTTGTAATCTGTAATGTGTGGGCCACGCGCTGAAGACTTTTCGTGGCTCACGCATTCTTTGTTTACTTACCTTACAATCCATTCTTTGCGTAATCCGTTGAAAATCACAGAAGTGTTAAGAAAAATAGTTAAAGACGTGATATTGGTCTGGGGCTCGAAGAGTTAACCGTGAATATCCTCGAAAATCGAAATTATGCACGTTTAACACACTTACAACCAAGCGTCCCCTCTGAAAAAGGTGGAACTGCAAATTTGAAATGTTTGAAAAATCATAGCTCAGCCATGTATTGACAAATTTCAAAAATTCGGCGGGTACCGGCGGGGTTTAAAGTTTGTAGTTTTCAACGGTACCAGAACTCTTAAAATCCGTCAGTAAATGGCTGAGCTATTATTTTTAGAACATTGCAAGTGATCCGTTCCACCTTTTTCGGAAAGCAGGCTTGGTTAGAGGAGTGTTAAGGACATTTCCATCAAGCTATCATGGTGAAATTTAAATAAGAATGTACAGCAAAAAATCTTCAATAATTCTTCTCAATATGAAATAAATTATCCAAAAATCAATAGCAGTTTTCATGTCCGTTATTATCAAATGGTGATGATCGATGAATTCCTTAACGGTAAACATAAAATTGATTTAGCTATTATTTCGTCAATTCTCAACAGAGGTTGATAAAACATGTTTCAATAATCGATCCTGTTTTTCGGTACTTACCCCACGACATTGTTAAATGTTTCAAAATAGAAGCAATCTTTACACACATAAAAACTAGAAGAGATTTGTGATCAAATGAAACATGTTTTATCAAAATCTGTTGAAAATTTACGATATGGTAGCAAAATCAATTTTTTGTTTTGTTTTTCGAATACAATTATTATCATTTGCCCGAGCGGCACTAGCCCGAATAAAGAGATGAACTACCGAATGTTACACATGCCCGAATTGTTAGAAATTAGTTTGATTTTCAGCTCAGTATTCTTAACTTCGTAGGACACTCATACAAATTCTGAAATGTCTGATATTCTGATACCTCATCAAACATTCCAATACAAAAATTCAAAAAGATTTAAAAGTTCTTGCATTTTTAAATCCTAAGCCATAACTTCATTCACAACCGTAAAGAACTGCTTATGTTTTTAAGCAGGAAAAATCTACTTAAACTACTATTTTCGGGCTAGTATATAAAACCAAAAAAGGATAAAGTATTGAGGCAACGCCGAAGTGAAACGCTCTAGCAAGTGTTGCCACAATAAGCTTTGTTGATTTTTTTTTTGTTACTATATTGTCGAACCACTTATATTTCGTATGTTGCACAACTTTCTATCTGCAGCCCAATCAGGCATCTCCTGGTGATGAAGAAGTTCGTGATTCGTTTGATGGATGGCGGGTCCATAGCATCGTACCGGTAGCCGAGATCAAGTCTACCGTATTGCAGATCGAGTTTGGATTCCGGTTCAAATCTGAAAATTTCCCTATTAAAGGAACTATGCGTTATTACGACTGTCGACGGATTAAGTTTCGCTCCCGGCCACAGTGTGAACGAAAACTACTTGTTTTCATTCCAAACTCTGACGTTCCTGCTACCATCAGTATCAGAGGAAAACACACTTGCGCAACAGCCCCACCCGAGCATTTGGCCCGCACGAAGCTTAATGAGCAACAGTCAGACTTGATCGAAGGTTTATTAAAATCTGGAATACCATCCAAGGATATCAAGAAGCACGTCAGAGTGGTGAACAGTACAGTCTCCAAGAATCAGCTGAACTATGCCGTGAAATCAACAAGACAGAAGCTGTTTGGAAATGGCGTATTTTCAATTGGTGAGTCATGTTTTTCTATGCCTTTTTTATTTGATTTTTTTTTTCATTTGATTTTTGTTCCGTGAGAAATGGCAGGAAAAAATAAATATCATGCATTTATACTGACTAACTCTTAGTTGCGATGATGTCGTTCAATGATCATTAATTAAAAAAATATTGCTGCGTTTTTCTTGGGAAAACTAGATGTTTTGTATCGCTTTTGACAGCACTCGCCACCGGGGGAACTGCCTTGGACCGTATGACTTATAGACTTAAGAATGTCTTTTGTTTAACTCGTTTCTAATTAAATATATAGATAATGGTGCACTTTGTTCGATACATTAATTCTGCATAATATCTCTATTACTACAAGGAACGCAGAATAGGCATTTTCTCGTTGATAGAAGTAACTTTTGAAGAGAAAATCACTAATTTTACTTTGCAGCAAAATTGCTTTATTCATCTGTCAGATTTGATGGCGGTGGAAATTCATAATCAATTGTAAAACAGGACTATGACCAAGGTACAGAAGACTGTCTTTACGGTAGGACTATGATGTATCAGTCATGACTATACGGGTGTTAGTCGTGACTGGTACATATACTCTATATAATTGTAAAGTCACCTCAACCTTGTAATCGTTTAATGCAATATTTACCAAGTTGAACTAATTCTTCTTCTTCTTGTTCGCATTTCAAGCTTATTGCTTAGCGCATATTAGCTTATTGCGTGCTCTCAACTTAGTGTTCTAAATGCACTTCCACAGTTATTATTTCAGAGCTTTCGATGCCAATACCAATGCATGAATTTGTGTATTGTGTGGCAAGCACAATGATACTCTATGCCCAAGGAAGTCGAGAAAATTTCCAACCCGGAAGATTCCCTCGACCGGACTGGGAATCGAACCCGCCGCCTCCGGCTTGGTAATACCGTGCCTTTACTGACTAGGCTATGAGACCCCCTATATACTATATCGAGTTATTGATGTGAATTTTGGAAATTTGTATGGAAATGTGGTTGAAGTAGACTGGAAATCGACTTAGGGTGAGATCGACTAAGAAAGAGTTGACAGTATATTGTACAGCTGACTTAATATTTTACTTATGCATTTATGCATTTCCTATACAGATATTACAAATTGTCGAGGTTAACCATATCATAGCATTGCCAAATTGCAGGACGATATAAAAAAGCAGGAAAAGATTTGGAAAATCAAAACAGGAATTTAGAAAATGCTGACAAACAACAGGCATCTCAACAATAATAGATAATAGAACAATATACTACTGTTTTTTTATGGAGCTCTATAGTTGGTTATTTTTAAGTGCATCTGTTCATAAAACTGCTCGGAGCTTTTTTGAAGTAGTGATAGATTATACGCAGGCGATATCTAAATATGCTTGCTGTAAGTTCACCTGAATGATTCGTCACCCACATTTGGCACTAGCATTAGTGGACTAAAAATGCTCATATTTCGCGCTAATGGCAAAGTTCCTCCTGCCGAAGAGTGTTACCACAATGATGTGTAGTTAGCTAAGGTCAGTTATCTGGCTGGTGGGGCACGGAAGCAATAGCATTTATTAGGACAATCGCATCTGCTAATAGGATCATAATCGCTTACATCAAAACACTTCAACAGTATTGTGATAGTTTGTACTTGCCCAACAAATTGCTCGAGAAATTATCAATACACTTCATTGTATTTTTATATTTTTTTTTTTTTTGTTTAATGTTACACAATATGTCATGTTACATCTGCACTAAAAAGACCGCATGCAAACGTTTTAGAACACAATGTCTACAGATATGTTTTATAAATAAGGTAGAACACTACTTCGACATAAGCGCTCTTTTTCGTCACATCGAGCAGCAAACATCAAATATATCAATGAACAAGGGACAATCGGGAAAAAGTCGAGGTTTGATTTTCACGAGAAAAAAGTTGGGAATTTGATTAATCTACCAGGAAAATAATCTTGTTTCTATGATTTAAATGGGTTCTAAATTTCACATAACAAAACGTATGTCATTGTTTATTTTTATAATCAAGTCAAAACTAATTATTTCGTTCATAGGGGAAATGGCTCTAATGTCGGCTTAAGTGCCTCTAACTTGGGCCCATATATAAATTCACTTGTAGCCAAATTTTCATTAGCGACCAATAATATCCATCGGATATTTGGATCCACCGTAGATCTAGATAAAATTGAAAAATAGAAGATTTTTAGCAATGGGCCCAATCTTAAATCCATGGGTCAACTTTAGAGCCTTTTCTCCTACTACAACTAAAAATTTACTGCAAGATGGATAAAATAAAGCTAAAAAAGAATGCAAAGCATACCGTGATTAATTGTTAAGTCGTGTTTTTTGTATATTTATTTGTATCAGTAGTAGCTTAGTAGAGCGAATCAATCATTTGTTTCCTAGCTTTAACAGTAAGCTGATATGAATTCAAGCCAAAAACGATTTCTCGCTCAATCATTGATACAAGCAAACGTATTTCCTTGTAGAGTTCTTTTCATATCACACTCTACGAAATTTCAAAAACACATATCTCAAGATTTAATGGTTTTACAGATCTGTAAATTTCAGACATTACTTGCTCCTGCGTAGCAACAACAAGTAGTGAGTTGGACACCCCTCACCATTCCTCTCCAAAGAGGGAGATTGGTAAAGAGAGATGATAAAACCGATTTGTACCTTCCTTAAAAGTTGTCTAGCTCGCTGTCTACTCTCTATATGCAATTTTCACACTGCCGTCCTATAAACGGAACTATCAATTCTATACTTTCATCTCCTCCTCATCTATCGTATAAAAATTGCCACTTAAGTCTGTTATTTGAAATTAGCATCTTTAAACTATATTAAAATTATGGTTTGTAAAATATCGAAGTGTAATGCAAAAAGCATGGTACAACAAATCACCTTCAAATTTATTAGGTATAAAAAATTGATTATTTTCTAAAAACATGATCTTTAAAACCGGGAAATTTTCGAATGGCCAGAAAAACCGGGAATAAACCAAAAGTTTTGAAATGAAAACTCGCTTGTCACTCTGATGTATACTGCAGTACATAAAATAAATAATTTCGCACATGAAATCTTTAGTTTCTGAGATATTCATGCCATCAAAACTTTGAAGTGGTAAGGCAAAATAACCAAAATAGTTTTGTTTCTGGATTCTATCAACTTTCACCTTAAAATAACATAAAATGCTTGCCTTTCAAAATTCTCCCTTTTTAAAGTTCGGCCTTATGTTTCTCTTCCTTTTGAAGTTTGGCCTTTTGATTTTCTGCGCAAGATGCAGAATAGAAAATGGACAGTAGCGGGTTCATAAATGAATTCAAGATTGTTGTACCATTTCCTGTATTTTGTTCGCTTTATAATCAGGCCTATTCTGCGAGTCGTGTCACTAGTGTCACTAGTGATGAGACAAACGTCACGGCGTGTGAGATAACTCCGAGTAAATTAAATGAAGAGTCGCCTCACTAGTGACAGAGAGACATGACTCGCAGAATGGGTCTGTATTTTTCCTGTTTCATCCTTGAACTATTTTGTTCGATGCTAGTTTTTCTTTACTGTTCACACTATTTTTATTTTCAATTTGCCTGTCGTCTGATTCCTACAGGAGAACTGGAAGAGTGGGCAGCGTCAAAATCTGCGGTTCCGAATGACGAACGAGATGGGTTCGTGATCGGGAAAGATATTGATCACGAAAACAAATCATTCCGTGTTATTTTTTCATCCAAGCGTCTGCTATCACTCCTCGCAAAATTCAACATTGTGGCAGCCGATTGCACCTTCAAAGTCACTTTAGAAGGCTATCCTTTGCTTGTTGTCGTTGTCATAGACAATATGCGGCATGCACACCCAGTAGCATTCGGAATCATAGCTAAGCAAGAGCAAACTGATTATGAGTTTGCTTTTCGAACGATTACTGGCGCATGCTCAAGATTGGGCATTAAAGTTGTAGTAGAGACTTTCTTGAGTGATGGAGAGCTTGCAATGAAAAATGGGGCGCGTATCGTATTCGACGACCCAACAATTATAAACTGCTACTTCCACTTCATGCAAAATGTTATAAAACATTTGAAAAAGTACAATGAGATTCCGGATGAAGTACATGCTAAGATAAAACGCGACATTGGCTTGCTTCAAGTTTCCGCCACAATAAAACATTTCACCACTGGGATAAAGTTGTTTCTGCAAAAATATGAACAGTTCCCCAACTTCATCAACTTTATGAACAAATACACTTACGACAACAACTTTTGCCGGTGGTACGAAGCGGCCAAGCCAGGTGCACCAGCTACCAATAACGCTCTGGAAGCGTTAAACAAATCGTTGAAGTACAATCACATGAACCGGCAAAAGGAACCGTTCTGTTCATTCAAAGCCATTATTTTAAAGATTATTTATGAGTACGGAGATCCGCTGAGAGACATTGCCCAGGAAAGAAACTTCATCAGCATCACTAATGAGAGGAAAGCATTTGACTGGCTCAAAATGCGGAAAAAAATGAGAACCTGCCAGGCTCCGATGGAAGGAAAACAATATGTTTATCTACCAGGAAGGCAAAAAGCAGAAGTTTCCTTACATGACATCCAATCGTTCGAAAATCCAGAATACCGCACTTTCGATCAGTTTGTGGAAGATTTCGGGAGTTTACATAGAGTCGACGTAAGCAGCTATGAGTGGAACTCATGGAACTGTACTTGCTATCATTTTCTAAAGAAAAACTTTTGTTGCCATGTCCTGGCAGTCGCTGTGAATCGCGGAAAACACGTCCTGGGTGCAGAGTCGAACACTACTGCTATGGGTCGAAAGAAACCGGTAGGACGTCCGAAGATAGTCTCCAAGGCACTGATTGTTGACTGACAGCTCACTCCATTTGCTCCGAAGGACTATTTCTTCCAATTCTACTGGAACGCCCGGACACAACTTTACAGCAACTCGTAAATGATAGAATACCCAAGTAACCACCAAGCCCGCTAACTATCCGATAATCACCCTTTTTGCAATATAAGGTAAATATAGGGTTTCCGAACTTTATAGCAGTCGTATAGCAAAAAGGGCGATTAACGGGCTTGTTGGTTACTTGGGTATGTTTCAATAAAGATCTCTGAAAGGCCGAGCGTTGGTGCACTTCTAATAAGAGCATTTTTTTGTTTGCACTAGCACTTGGACATTCAGAAGTCTTTATTTCTCTGTATGTTTTTACTAATTTAACTTTTGTTACAGCTACCTACTTTCGCCACCATCTGAGGGACAAGCGGTGGACCGGAAGTATGCTACAAGACTGCTCGTCATTGTTGTTGTTTTTTTTTTAAATCATTTCAAATCAAATTTTTGAAAATATTAACTTTGCGTCGCCAAAATTTACACTAATAATATTGTTTTAATTATATCCAAAGTAGGACTTGATGTGAGGGAATAAAAAAAATGTTTTTAATAAAGTAAACCTATACTTGTTGTTACAGTAATTGTTTAAGCATTTGGGAGAGACTTTTGAAGGCAAGAAACTAAGAAAAACTAAAGTCACTAAACTAAAGATGGATTCGTGATAAGACCGTACATACTTTTGTAAACCAACAGATCAATCGTCGATTTCTCGTGAATTGAAGCTTAAACTCAAAACCAAATTGTAGATGAATCATTCCTCTGTCTGTCGAAGAGTATTAATTCACAAGAAATCCGCAATTGACGTGTTTGTTTAAAATGTACGCCCTAATTAAGAATTAAGCCGTTTCAATACCAAACGATCCATCATTTTTTCTCAAATTCCACCCACTTTTTGTGTTCGTGTTTAGCTCCACTCGCGTATTTTGTTAGGGTTGATCAGTCACAGATGATATACTTTTATTTTGTGGATTACGACTGAGAATATTGTCTCCGTCACCCACTAAGTACGTGGTAAGTATTGAACTGCCTATTAAATTCCCGAAGAATGCGTTGAAAAATTGCGTAAATGTACCAGTTCCGGCACTTTTCATAGTAACATATTCCAGATATGTTGAATTATTCGAATAGAGGGGCCAAAACTGGGGTGGTAGGTGCTGATTCCGTTGATAGATAATAAGATGCAAACAATCCATACATATTACATACATATTAAACTGTAATGAAATGTATGGATTAATGAACCGTCAGGTATTCGGTGCAGTACGGTATATGAAATCGGTATACAGCAAGGAGAGTTCTGTTGAATAATTTTCTTATGGGGCAATTCCTAATTTTTAAGTATACTATGAAAAGGTAATTATGGAACAAGATACATTCTCTATGGTACAATGCATTATTAAATTATAAGGTGACCAGACATATACAGGCATAGCTTCATAATTCTACTACTACTTCTTGTTGCGTTTTCCCTGAAATCCTGCTCCATAAATCATGGAAAAGGCCTCTTAATAAAGCAATAATGTTCCATTATGGGCTTCTACTGACGAGGGGTCTTTAAATGTCGAAAAATAACATATATGTATTGTTATGGATCAACTTAGCAATAATTATGGAGCGATTTCCACTAAATGTGTTGCTAATTGCTTATTCATTATGGAGCATTTTGTAAGGATAAGCTTCATTACTTTCACTTTTTAAGTATACAAATTCATTCCATGCAAATCCTTTCAGTGCTGCCAGTTGATGATACATCTGCCAAATGTAAACTTTGCCTTCTTTATGGTTCAGGATTTGATTAAGTTTATGGAGCATTTTCGTTTCTTTATGGCGAGATCTGATTAATGTATGGAAACTGCTAGATTTCTTCAATGTTAACATCATACACTTTATGGTGCAATTTTAGTTTTAAAATAAACAAAATCGATATAATTGTGGATCGCCAGTTTACAAAATATGGAAACGGTTTCTACAATTTATGGAACATTCTTATATTTTTATGGTGTTTGATGGGATTATTTACTTGTACAATGTTTCACTTGAAGTCATAAAACTTCTTGTTCTACCGGTTCAATTTGAACTACCCATGGAGCATTTTCGATTACTTGTGGAGAATGTTGTAAATTTTAATGGTGAATGACTTTATTCCTTATGGAGCACTTTTATTTGTTTTAGGGAATGATGTAGTTTTTCAATGGTCGCAAAAACCTTTTGCCATTAAAAATCAGTGCCAGATGGTTGTAGAATCTGGAAATCAAGTGTTTGAGTACCAGATTCAGGATGCTGTCGATATTGGCCAACAGTTCGTCAGCCGTAATCTCGGATTCCTCGGAAAAAATATTGGGAATTTGATGGAGGTTGGTTTCGTTTTCAGCAACCTCAGTTTCGTGAGGGCTGACGATATTTTGTCCGAGATTATGAGAGCTGACGAAGTGTTGACCTACTGCGGCAGCCTTCTCTTCAGGGCGGGAATTTCTGTGAGGGGTGAGCTATTTTGTGTGCAGAATGTGCAAAAAAGGAGGGACTTCGGATGTTACTCTAAATGCATATATAGAGGCACTAGATATGTTTTGCACTGCACTGTCCCCCATTGCACAATTAACGGAAAACAGATTATGTATAGTTTCCGATAGATTTCACTGCCAATAACAGCAGTGACATCTGATGGTAAATTTATGCAGAAGCTTGACAAAATGATTAATTGAGATGTCAAATAACGGAACCAATCGATCATAACACGACCAACAACAGAAAAGAGCACATCAGCTTTTGCAGACAAACTTCGGAAACCCTTCGTGATTCAAGGCTGCCTACGCAGACCGACACCATCGTCGAGTTGGAGAAAGTTTCTCATATCCGATGATGCTGTCAATTAGCGTTTGGTTGGCGAGGAATGAACTATCAAAGTGGACTTTTCAACTGTTTGTCTACAATACATTGAATTGGTTCCGCTTTGTGAGAGCTTGAAATTCTATACGTCAGACTATAAATATAGCCGCTATAATTCTGAGTAGTCAATTTCGGCCAATCCTTAATTTGACCCGAATATCTTAAACGTAATTTTTTGTGGAGTCAGAAACGTTCGGTCAAAACGGAGCAATTGAGTTTTCTTCATTTATGGAAAACTCAATTGCTCCGTTTTGACCGAACGTTTTTGACTCCACAAAAAAAAAAAATACGTTTAAGGTATTCGGGTAAGGTAAAAGTCCCAAAATTTGAGAGCGATAAATGGTAACCGTCAAAAGTTATGACGCTTTCAAAGTGCGATTCGAGTCATATTGACTATTGAATTTCTCAAAGTGGGTCGCCATCAACAATAGTTCCAGAAACACTGCTCCAGTGGTGTTAACCAAACTTTGGAACGTACTGATATCCCTACATTGACCGAGCCGAACCCGCAGAGACGAACGCAGGACCGCTCCATGAATGCACCCAAGATTGCTTCGGTACGAGTTAATGATAGTGAGATGGAGAGCCTCTCGGATTCAGTTTTCTCTATCTACTATCAAAATGTTAGGGGTTTACGTACGAAGATCCAAGAACTTCGTTTGAGACTGACGAGCAGTGGTTACGATACAGTGGTCTTAACAGAAACCTGGCTTCGACCGGACATATCCGACTGTGAAATTTCGACGGACTACCAAATATTCCGCTGTGATCGCAATGAATCCCTCCAGTCAATTATCCACGGGAGGTGGTACACTCATAGCAGTCAAATCTGTGCACCCTTGCTCCTTGGTTTCGTTGGAAAACTGTGACCAGTTCAAGCAGGTCATTGTCCGAATTAGTTTGGAGAACCGCTCACTGTTCATCTCCGGAATCTACGTTCGCCCTTTGTCAGGTCCTGAGCTCTACAAGTTACATGCCGTACGGAATATTAACTACAGAGACTTCCTTGAGCGATGATATCATCATTGTGCTGGGTGATTATAATCTCATTTACTCTGGAATTTCGACGAGGACATGAACGGGTATCTACCTTCAAACTCATCGACGGAGCAGGAAATGGCTCTTACCGAAGAAATGCTTGCTAATGGTCTAATTCAGGTTAACCCATTTGTAAACACAAATGGAAAGCTGCTTGATTTGGCATTCACTACCAATCCAGACGGTTTTGATCTCCTTGAACCAGCGGTTCCACTGCTTAATGTTGACATCCATCACAGGCCATTCATTCTGAACCTCGATCGTCATGATGCCCCAGCAGTATTTGATCTTAAAAACTGTGACCTAACCGCCCTAGATCACATACTTACAGCAGTTAATTGGTCCCTGGTTCTGAACGGTGATTCAGTTGACGTCATTACAAACCAGTTCTACGGAAAACTGCACGCAATTTTCCACGAATGTGTTCCTCTTCGTAGACCTTTCTCCGGCTACTCTGCGTGGAAATCCTGGTGGAACACAGAGCTGCGTAGCCTCCGCAACAAACTCCGCAAGACCCGCAAACGGGGTTTCATCTCTAAATCCGAGGACAACCGAAATACTCTTCGTTCAATTGAAACTCAATACAACGAACTACTTGCCGCTAGCTACGAAGAACATGTTCAACGAACACAGTCAAACCTGAAACAAAACCCATCGAATTTCTGGAAATTCGTGAAGTCACAAAGGATGTGCAATCGCCTACCCAACACAGTTGTTCTAGACGGCGTAACCGCAACATCGCCGGAAGAGATCGCAAATTTCTTCGCTACGTTTTTTCAAGGTGTTTATGGTGCAAGGCAAGCTCGCCTCCCCGCTTACAGCGTCAACGATCGACATGAATATGCCAGATGATGTCCATACAGTTTTGACCAATCTTAATGCATCAAAAAGCCCCGGATTTGACGGAATTCCTTCGAATTTCGTGAAATACTGCGCTCGCTCGCTGGCTTTACCGATTTGCTGTATATTCAACCGTTCGCTGTCCGAGAGGACGTTCCCCAGCTTATGGAGAACTGCTGCTATCGTACCAATACTCAAATTCGGTAGCCGTA